AATTCTTTCATCACCTTCAACATATTAGTAAAAGCCAGTTTAGCAATACCAACAACTGACTGAAGCCTGTTGATGAAACACCTTGCTTTTGCTTTGATATTTAAGTAGCAACATAAGACAACTTTATTATGCCAATGCAGAATACTGCATTGACACAGCTTCAAAATGGACAAGTTATTGTGTTGTAATAATCCATAGAATGACACATTACTAGAAATATTACATGGTTACCTGACCAGATAAATAATGGCTCCACAAGTAATTTTTGAAGTACAGTAGTCTCTATGTATTTTTTTATTCAAGAAAAAAAAAAAAAAATAAAACAAGCCAAGTCTTTACAGACATCTTCAAAAGAAGGCACCATCCAAAGCAAGCTTGAGCCAAATTTGGTAAGCTGCAGCACAAAGATAGCAAAGAATCTGTAGATCCAAAAATTTTCAGAAGTTACCTGTTAGTCTTACATGTGACCTACTACTATGTTTCAGTCTGCTCGGGAAATGAGCAGGTCTGGATTCTGACCAGAAACAGGGGAGGACAGGACAAATTAAATGCACCAGACACAGCTAGCTAAAAGGAAGTGGGTTTGGTTTTATCTAATGACACCTGCTTGCTGTTAGATTACAAACACTGAATGAAGAGAAGGTAAGAAAAGAAGAAAAGCAAACCCAGGCTTTCTCAGTTAACCATTGTAGCCATCCAAGATATTACCATTTCCAGCTTTTCTGTTACTGCCAGATAGTGGCTACAATCAGAAGATAATATCTGCCCTTGCATGAACTGTTTTAGTATGGTGGTTCATGTTGGACTGGAGAAGAAGGTGTGTAGACTTTCTGCCATGGTGTAAACTTATGTATCCTAATGCATATGCTTTGACTGACTTCATTGCTGTGGAAGCAGTCTTTGGCGTAGAAGCACGATGGACATTCGAAGGGCAGTAACTTCCTGAAGTGCTACGCTAGACAGATTCGTTAGACCTTAACAGTCTAAAATAGATGTAGATGCAAATTTTTTAAGAGTCAAAGTCGAGTAACATACAAAATAAACACAGCGTAATTGAACCAAACCCAGAAACTCACTGGAAGCTCACAGGCAACTGGCATGAAATAAGACTCAAATTTCAACTACCTTAACCTGACCAGTCAAGCTAAATTGCCTGAAAAATAATAGTACAAAACAAGATCAGTAAAACAAATCCCATCAGCGCAAGTATAATGTTTTTATAGTAACTGAAAATTTCAAGGTAGCTGAGCATATTATTACAATGGTTATTACTACTACAGACAAAAATAAGAAGTCATGTTTACAGCTAGCAATTGGAAGGCAAATTGCATTCTTCATTTAATCTTTTAAGCTGCACTACATTAGAATGGACATTTCAAACAACTTAAAATCAACAATGATCCAGAGGAAAAGGTCTTCTGTGAGTTAATCTAAAATTCAGTATGGTTCCCACTGCATGCAGAGTCATAGGTAAGTTTGAAATGTGACTATGACCACAGACGATGCATTTCAGCATGCACAGCAGACCTAAGACAGGACTGTAGGGAGCGAACTGCAGGCCAAAAACACCCACCAAATCATACATTGCTCTTTACATGCAAAGTGTGACAGTTTCTGCTGAGATCTTATTGACTGGCTATATGTAAATTAGCATTCTCTATTTTAAGTATACCTTATTTGCTGAGAAAGAGATATGCTTAGCAAAGTTAGATTTTTCATATTTAGGGAGAGAGAATGTTCATGTGCATATATACATGCAGGGAAGAAAATAAAAAATGCGAGAAAAACAGTGGGTTTTTATGGTCCAAAGCCTGTAAATGCTGTGCATGTGCTCAGCTTTGCCTTCTCAAACAGTTCCAGTGACTTCAGTGATCCTGAAATAGTGAGCTAAAGCCTACATTAAAGTGCTTGCTGGGTCAGGGTATAATTCAAAATCCCCTGGAGTCAATGGGAACTTTTTCAATGAATTCAATACACTCCAGCCATCCCTCCACCTGCAACTGTACAATATGCCTATTATGTATACTTCAAAATTACTGCAAACTGTGTTCTCAGTCAGAATAAATCAGGATGGGCATACTGACAGCAAAACAGGTATGCTAGTTCAGACCTACATGCTCTTGCAGAAATTGCCAGACTCATTTCTAGAAGTCAGTAACGATCTTGTACACTTAAGGAAAAGCAGTGACACTTCACATCTTACTTTTTAGCTTCTCATCAGTCATCTTTTAAATAACCCCAATATTACCCATAAGAGCTTCCTATATGGAATGCACTGGCTGGATAGCCAAGACCGATGTGGGACTCTTGCTCCTCTTCGCACCCAAGAAGCCAGAGCTCGGCTTTCAGCCAGTGTGTTAGCTCACAGAAAGTCACACAAGTACACTGCATTTGGGATTCCAGTCAAAGCTCAGGGCTTCTCAAATCCAGAGAACGAACTATATCTCCAAGCCTGAGCGACTGAGGTCTCTAAACACTTTGTGACACAACGAAATGAACATGAGCATCAAATATCAATATCAACATGTTCACATGAAAGATTCCAGGGTCATAACAAAGAACAAGGGGCACTTCAAAAATTCATGTTGGAAGCATCCAGCCCGTTGGCGCCCAGGGTAACTAATACTGTAATAAACTACAGAATAAGTGTTCCTCTGTTACTTCAGTCCTGCATCCACAGCACAAAAACAGCAGCACAACTTGTACCTGACAGCAATAAACCTAGGACCAGAGAAGCATCTGGTAATTACATTCTTAATCCTTGAGGTAATTTTCACGGAGAACTAAGAGACTTCTAAGACAAGGGACTTTGCTGGTGACTTTGATGGAATACCTTCATTCCTCTTATCGTTAGAATTACTCATAGTGAGGTTTGTAATTTTGCCTTTTGTATATTTGAAAGAAAATAGGAAGTAGCCTTCTTTTTTGTATTGCTGGCTGCATCTTTTAAGTGAAGATGATGCTTTTGCAGTTTCCCAGTTGAAAGTACAGTAGTTAGAATAACTAGGCTTCAGACTGTTCCTTCATGACTGTGAGCACAATTCTCTGCTTGTCATGGACTAGCAATAAAGAGACTCACTGACAAAAGACTTGTATATCTGTATGGAAAGGCATATTCAACCAGAGCCACATAGAACAACTGAAGTAATTCTCAGCTTCATGCTGGAAACATGGACCCAGCTTGCCTTCTGGAAACCCCCTGACTTACTAGCAGGTTGATGTGAAACAGAGTGAATTTCATTTTGCTTTCAAGAAGTATGATTACTTGATGGTATTTTTAATCTCAGCAAAAACAGAGTGTTTATAAAAGAAAGATGTATTCTAATTACACTCATCATGCTATCATTCATTAAGAGCTACATTACAAAATGCCATCATCATTCAAAAGCAATAAGTCAGGAAATCTTCAGACATTGAAGCATTTGGCTTCTTTTCCTCTAGGGATGCTAATGTAGCCGCTCAGAAGGTTCGTACATGGCTGATACTAGAATACTGAAAAGTGCAGTATCACGAATCATTTAAGGCGGAAATTATTTTGTACCATTAATGTAAAACATCATTTGCTTTATTGAAGCCATGTGGAAATGTTTACTTGGCTAATGGTCACAACAGACAAACAATGAGGTAGACAACAAAAATCTTAATGGTCACAAATACCAGCATGAATACATCTCAAAAACGCAGCGTCAGGAACACTTCACTTTGATTGCACCAAACCTCTCCAGAACAGAGCTGTTCCTGCTCCTACCCAGTCAGGAATGCTTTGTAGCGGCACTGCGCAGATTCCAACAGCAAAACATTTTGTTCCCGAACCAGACAGGGTTGCTAAGTGACAGCAGCCCTCTTCTCTTCCACATCATTTACAAAACTGAGGCTCTTAAAAACAAGCAAATGAATAGTTAAGAGTTCATCAGTCTTACACATCCCACATAGTAAATGCGCTGT